TTAAATAGTTTTATTAGGGGCTCATACGACTCTTATCACAATCTATACATACATCAATTGTGTAAAGCACATTTGTACATTCATTGCCCTTGTCATTCTCAAAACATTTGCTCTCCACTGAAGCCCCCGGCACCATTGATCATTCTTAAAGAAGGAGTTCTGAAAAATGATTGCAAATAATGATTCTTCAATATGATCTTTCATTAACAAAATATTTATTTCTGCACTTATCCACCTTCATCAAGAATGGAAATTTGCATAAAAGGGAAGAGATTTGTTTGTTACCTGGGAACCACTACTGAAACTTTCTAGCAATCTATTTATCACCCTTCCTATTCCAAGACAACTCTACTGCAGGGACTAGCAGTATCTTATCCCAGGGCAGTCCTAAGACCAGGACTTCCTTGTCCTTGAATCACCAAGAAGTTCATCCTGGACATCAACTCTCTCACATGAATTAGAAAATAAGACTAATTCATGGCATTCTGATCCTACTGAGAAAGCTTGGTGCCCAATTCAGTTCTCTAAGACTAGGGCAGCAGAACAAATCAGCCCAATACAGAGAGTTACTCCTTCAAGTGGTTCCTTTCTCCATCAACCAAACCAAAGGTCTGACAGGGGCTGCCCCCAGTGAGCATTCTTGGTTAAAGGATTCAGAGAACTCGTGTTCTCAGTTGATCATGGAGTTAGTTCCAGCACAAGGCAAACCCAAGTACAACAGAACCAAAGGTTGCTCACTCCTGCAGCATCTTCCCAACCATTGGTATGTGCCGTGCAACGAATTATTTGAGATGGCTCTTCTACTCATAGACCTCCAACACTCGTCTATCAGTTTGTCATATGGTGGTTGCTTGCCTGTTGTTGTGATGCCAGAATCAATGTCACTGGTATTTCAAATATTAGCAAGATCACCCAAAGTGAACAGGTTTCAGCAGAGCTTCCAGGCTAAAAGCAGACTATGAAGAAGAAATAGGCCGTCCACTGGTGAGGGATGAACCACTGAAAACATTATGAAAAGCAGTGAAATAGTATCAGATATTGAAAACCTCGTGAATAGCAGCAGAACATTACAGATGTAGTGCAAGAAGATCAGAGCCTCAGGCCAGAAAGCACTGAACTAATGACTGAGGAAGAGCTACCTTTGCAAAGTAGAGTTGACTGTAATGATGTGGGTATAGTAAAGTCTCTTGGACCTTTATTCGCTGATGGGGCACACCTCAACACGAGAAGAAAGAGCTGAAAGCATTTATTAATCATTAGAAATTAGAATGTGCAAAGTATGAATCTAGGAAAATTGAAAGTAAAAAAAAGAGGAATATATAAGCACCACTCTCCTAGACATTAGTAAGATGAAATGGACTGGTATTGGCCCTTTTGAATCAGGTAATCATCTAGTTTATGCCAGGAAGGACCAATTCAAGAGGAATGATATCACATTCATTGTCAAGCAGGACATTTAAATATCCATCTTGAAGTACAGTGCTGTCTGTGATAGGATAATATATATATACACCGACAAGGAAATCTAGTCAGTAGAATTATTACTCACATTTATGCATCAACCATGAGAGCTAGTGATGAAGAAATTGAAGAATTTTTACCCAAGCTTTCAGTCAGAAATTGATCCAACTTGCAAATCAAGATGCATGGGTAATTATTGTCAATGAAACGCAAAAGTTGGACACAAAGAAGGACCAGTTATTGGGAAATATGGCCTTGGGGATAGTAATGAAGCTGGAGACTGCATTACAGAATTGTACAAGGTTAATGACTTTTTTATCACAGTGACCTTTTTTTTTTTTTACAGATACCTTTTTTCAACAACACAGATGGTGTCTATACACAGAAATAAAAGTGACTACATCCAAGATGGAGACGCTCAATATCAGCAACTAAAACGAGGCCAGGGGCTGACTGACACAGACCATCAATTGCTCAGGAGGCTGAAGCTAAAGAAAATGAAAATAAATCCCCAAGAGGCAAAATAGGAACTTGAGTGTATCCCACCTGAATGTCAAGAGCCTCTCAGGAACAGAATACTAATGACAGAAGGTCTGATGTGCTGTGGGATGGCGTCAGGATCATCATATGTGAACAAAGCAAAAGGTCATTAAAAACAGGAAAGAAACTATTCAAGTGGATGTCAGACTCTGGAACTTGGTCTTAATCATAGAGCAGCTTAGACAAATGTGATGACGTCAAAGAGCTGAACAGAACATTTCAAAGGGCAGCTCGAGAAGACAAAGTCTTATAATTTCAAGCAGAATAAACTGAAGAAAAAATTCAAGCTTTGCATTGCAATATTCAGATTCTATAGGCAAAATATTGAATGAAGATGAAAAGAGCTTATGAAGTCACTGTACCAAGAACTAGTTGACAGCTAACCCTTTCAAGGGGTAGCCTATGATCCAGAACTGATAATAGTGAGGGAAGAAGTCAAGCCACTCTGAAAGCATTATCCAAAAACAAGGGTCCAGGAATTGATGGAATACCGACTGAAAGGCTTCATTCAATAAGCGGATGAAGCACTGGAAGCACTCACGGGTCTAGATCAAGAAATTTGGATGACAGCTACTTGGCCAACTGACTGGAAAAGATCCATATTTACACCCATCCCAAAGAAAGTTGACCCAACAGAATGCACAAATTGAAGAACAATATCCTTGATATCGCATGCAAGTAAAATACTGCTGAAGATCATTCAACAACTGTTTCCACAGTATATTGACGGAGTTGCCAGAGATTCAGGCAGGGATATCATTTTTGCGAATGTCAGATAGATCTTGGCTGAAAGTAGCGAATGCCAGCAAGATAGTTGTATTTTATTGACTATGCAAAGGCATTTGACTGTGTGGATCATAACAAACTATGGACAGCCTTGAGAAGAATGGAATTCCAGAACCCTTCATTGTGCTCATGTAGAACCTGTACTCGGCTCAGGAGGCAGTTGTGGCAAACAGAACAAGGGAACGCCATGTGGTTTAAAATAAAATTGCCACATGGTTCAAAATCAGAAAAAGTGCTCATTAGGGTTGTATCCTGGAGTGAGATTCAAATAATTTGGCAGCTGGTTTGCTGCCCTAATGACTGTTCTAAGTGTAAATAAAAACAGATATACCAAAAGGTAGCTTATTATTTTCGTATAGTTAATACTTAAATAACAACAATAAAAGAGGTTCACAAACTAGATTGTTACAAGAAAGTTTTAAAATATGAAACAATATCTAAAAAAACAACAACAATAA